CCTGCCCAGCCACCCTCCATTTCAGAGCTTCTTTGCAGCTCATCACTCTTCCTCTTCCTCATGTTTCTGCACTTTCATTGTAATTCTGCTCAAACACAATAAATCTGATGCTCCCAGGGAGTCTACCGTTTGTTTGTGGGGAAAGACTACACTACCTGCAACCCTTTCCAAAAATCAAGAAAACAGCCCACAATATCAAAACCCAGGAACACGACTTTAGTGGTACACTTTAGTGGTACACACTCTGCCATATTATGATGTATCTACTTTCTTGTCCTCCACATAACATATCTGCAGAACTAAAAGAGAACAAGAGGGGATGAAGCAATTTTTGGCATCTTCTAGATGTGATGTGGTATACCATCAAGACTAATTCCTTACATACAAAAGACATAATCTAAAGCTAAAAGACTCAACTATGTTATGCAAATTAGAGAGACCGGTTCTACCATGTGCTTTCAGTGAAAAGCAGGCAGGAAGGTACTCAGAAAACCACAACATCTTTTGTGCAAAGTGAATCAGAGCCTGAAACTCCTTTCCCAAAGTCAGAATGTACACTTCCATCATGACAATATCCCAGCTCTTTCAAAGTTCTCATTCAATGCAAGAAGAAAGCAAAACAACCACTACCACAAGCACTGACAGGAGAGAGCCAAGGAAAGCTTGCCCAGCTAGGGGTACCTGCCTAACAGGAACAAGTGTTCCTGTGTGTTCCTGGCCATCAGGTGTCAGCAGATGACACTTAGCACCAAAGACTAACAGTAAATCACACTGCGCTAGAGCAACAGGAAAAACTGAAAAAGGCCTATTCCCCTTGCTGTCTGCAAAACTGTGCAAAGTCACAACAGTGAAACAGAGGATTTTATACATGTGACTTTATAAATAAAGAGATGCATCAGATGCATGGACATGGATTTGACAAGTGGAGAAAATCAATTTTTAAAACACTAAAAATTACACCTTAGTGACCTGTACTCACTCAATTAAAGTGTATTAGACCAAAGATATCATTCTAAACATACTAAAATTGTCACATTATAATTCCAGTAGTGAGTTAAAAGATCCAGGAATTATTTGGTCATGAAACAAAAATCAATCCAGTTTCAGGTATGGAGGACAAGTGAAGATGCTTGAGACTATGCAGCCTCCTAGATACTCAACTCCGAGTTCCTGAGGGCTTATTTATTTTTAAAGGAACCTTGTAAAAATAAAAAGGATCTTAGGAAGAGGTATTTTTTTTAATCCTGCCTTCTTCATGGACTGGACTGAAGCCAGAAGTTCTCACTATTTTTCTATAAAATGTTAGTCTAGTATCTCATTCACAGAGATCTTAAATCCAGCTCACAAGTACAGTTAGTGGGGACTACAGAACTTTGCTCCTGCTCATGCAGGAAGAAAAAAAAATTCTAACCACATAAATATTTAAAGGTTATTTGGTTCTAAAATAGGTTCTACCTCAGATGAATTCAGTAGTTCCAAATGTTCTTTCAGCAGAACCCTTGCTTGAGAAAACGGGCAATATTCTGGACTTGACTAGGTTCTGTGGAGTCTTTGGTTCCAGTTTATACTTTAAAAATATGCTTGTACTTCACTAATGAGAAGTGTTTGACTAGAAACAATCTATGTAATAAACACAACAGTCACTGTTTTACCATGTTATTGTCACTTGTATATATAGTAAACAGTTTCAAATTGTAACACCATATTCTAAACACCAGAAGGCAAGAATGGTTCAACACAGAATGATTTAAAACAAAAAATTTGAAAGCTATGTACAAAATATTGCTATTAAATACTTACAACATCCTCTATTATCTCCTTCACTGCAGCTACAGCTAAAATAAATAAGAGAGGGACCAATGTTGTGTAACGGCCCGTTGGTGATACATCTGGTATTTGCTATTAAAAAAAAAAGAAAAAATTTGTTTGCATTGCTAGTTGAAAACATAACACAAGAAGCAGTACTTTCTGTGCAACTGGATTCACATTTTAGACATGGTGCTGATTATTTCCAAGAGAGTTATGGTCTTCAATTCAAAAGAAGCTCATACAATAAAAGAACATTTGAATTTTAGGAAGCATTGTATTCAGTGGAGTTACTTTCAGAGTTTTTATTGTCTGCAGAATATTTACCTTTCTTTTTTGTGTTTCAAATTAAATTAAAATACTTATTTATGAAACACAATTGTGGACACAAGTCCAAGGTATTTTTACCGCCTTACAGTTTTAATCTCTAAGAGATATTCTGTATCATACTAGCTATTAACTGACAAATTTCAAACAGCTGTTTTCTGCCTATTATAAGAAACCCATTTTTGCTAAGCAGGTATGGGCAAGTGATTTCACTGATGCAAGTGAAATGTGTATGCAACACAAATGCTGAGAAGATGCAGCTACTTATGTGATACACATGGACGATTATCCATAATTATCTTTATATTGACTACAGCTGTTAATAGCAACACTGATAGGTGAAAGGATTGCTGCCTTAATAGACTTCCAATGGCAATGCAGCTCAAGTGACTACAATGAGATCTTTGCAAGAAAAGAGTACACTATTAAATGGTGCCTCAATGTGGTTAGAAGACATCCTCAATTTTTCATAAAACATTTTTTAAACCTGCCAATGTTATTTATGTTTATATACATTTCTTTCTGCTACCTACACATTCTGCATCTAAAAGAAAATAGGTTGTTATACATAAGTATACAATGTTTCTTGGAGATAGATACAGATCTATTTTTTCCAGTTACTCTAGACCACATCTTTTCAAGCAATTACATGGAAACCAGGCAGAAAATTGCTGCAGGGCAAGGGCAAGATTATTGTTTATAAATTTGTAAAGGGCGAGTGTCAGGAGGAAGAAACCAGGCTCTTCTCAGTGACAGCCAATGACAGGACAAGGGGCAATGGGTGCAAGCTGGAGCATAGGAGGTTCAATCTGAATATGAGTAAAATCGTTTTTACTGTAAGGGTTACAGAGCACTGGAACAGGCTGTCCAGAGAGGTTGTGGAGTCTCCTACTCTGGAGACATTCAAAACCCGCCTGGATGTGTTCCTGTGTGACCTAGTCTAGGTGATCCTGCTCTGGCAGGACTGGGTTGGGCTGGGTGATCTTTCGAGGTCCCTTCCAACTCAATCAATATTCTGTGATTCTCTGATTCCATCACTTCTCCAGTTATTCCAACCTTTTCATTCCTTGCTACATGTACGCTCAAACTCCCTCACTCCAATTACACTCTGTTTTCCAAGCAAAGTATGAAAGCAAAAGGGGCACCCACCCATAGGTTCTGCAGACAACCTAATGAAACCTGTCAGACAACCTAAAGAAACCCTGAACTTCAGATTTCTCCCCCCACACTAGAAAACAGTGTAAGTTATCTGTGCAGATGTATCCAAAGAAACTGCTCCAAGCACTTAATAGTAGAAGGAGGAATCAACTTTCACTTGCTAAAACATCTGAAGTGAGGGAGGATAAAGTACACATGGCAGTATATATGCCATTATTTTAGTAACTTTTGTTTGGTGTGTTAATACCTTGCACAGTTAGCCAACAGTTAACCTCTCAGCTACAATTTCTGCCCTTCAAAACAGACTACAGGATTGAAGTTCATAAAGTTCAGGTAGTTTTAGGCAGTACCTCCATTACGAGAAATGCCAACTGCAGGTAACATTTTTCTGTGTATGCCAGATAATTTTAAACAGGATTTTCCTGTCACAACAGTCTTTTTCACCTGACAGTATTTCTGCTATACTTAACCTGTTCTATAGAAAAATCTTTGTGTGCATCATGGGAGTAAAAAAAGCCACAAAACCAAATATTTACTAAAGGAACATCTACACAATACTGCTATTTGAGAAACTAACTAGCTCAGAAAGAACAGCATGCCAACCTCAGTGTCTCTGCAAAACACTGTCTATGATATAAATACTCCTTCAACAAGTTCCAAACATCAGCATCTTACTGTTGGTCTTACCTGAAGTAATGCAATAAAAAGAAAAAATGCATTAGCAGCTCTTCTGAACTGGGAATAAAGGAACCTTGGCAGGAATGTGATTATGTTGTACTTTGCAGTGCTGAGAGAAAGAGACAAAAATGTGCTATTATTACAGCAGAAAAAAATTCTTCAAAGGTATTCCTTTCCTCTCAGTTAAACAAGCTTTCAAATAAAACAGAACCTTCTGTGACATCTGTGCTAGCAGATTTGTTTCGGCTAATACTGAAAGACTTCTGTGGTCCTGTCAGCAGCCATGAACTGGCTAACCCAGGGAAGCCCCCGCTGCCCACAGAAACCATCGTAAGCTTCCATGTTGAGGCAATAAGTTCCCTCATCACCTCTGCCTGCTCTGGGGGAAACAGCCAAGCTTTCCTGCCAATCAGTTACAGGCAACGAGGAGAGTAAAAATTGCATAAAGAGAAGGTCCAGGCCAGATGCTGCATAGCAGCCATGGTTGCATGGTCATTGAGGGAGCAACTGGGGCAGGCCCCAGGCCCGCAGCTCTGGGGCCCAGAGAAGCAGCCTGCCCCACAGGCCATGGCACATGCTGAGCAGATGACTCTCTCCACACAATGGCTCTGGTTCAGACAACATTCTCGGAGAGAGAGGCACAATGAGCATAAGTAGGAGGGTACTAAACCAGGACTGAGTAGCTGTGGAGCACAATTCAATGCAAAAAACCTAGCAACAGAATTTTGTAGTTTGAGTTTTGCTAGGCTGGAAGAACAGAAAACATCTTATCTCAGTGGAATAACCTCTGCAAAGCCATCATCACAAAGCGTTTGAGCCCCCAGCTTTTCATCACCCTTACATTTGTTTAAGAACAGACTGCTACCATCGAAGGTCCTAAAACAGTAACAGTGAAAATAATCATGCCACAAAACTTACAAGCAAAAGACTTGCAGGAATATTTTAACCCCTTTTTAAGTTAGTAATATTTACTCTTTGTATAAAAGTCAGTTTAAAGGGGGAATGAATGTATCCTGCAAAAAGCTCAACGCTGTCAGAAAACAAAGCAAAAGACACAAAAGACAAGTTGTGTACACAAACAAAAACCATTATAAAGTTTCTCAGGTCTGTGAAAAACTCCCACCACATTATTCTCAATTTCTGTATTTCTGCATATTATCAAAGGTACCTTCAGTAAACATATGTACTTAGGAGACGGTATCTTTACCATTTATTTACTTCAATTTTAACAACAGAACTGAGGATGTTATCAGGTCTAAATATACATTATTTGTAAGTATTCAGTGTATTACTTAAAATTCAACAAAAACAAACAAAAAAACCACAACATGAACCATCAGCAGAGTCCTAAAGTCTGAACTTGAAATTCAAAACTAGTCCCATGTGCAAGCTCAGCATCTTTGTAGCTAGTTGACTGTAAGACAGGAGTTTCCAAAGCACAAACTGCCATACTCAAGTGAAGCACATCTGCAGTGGCATTCAGCTACCAGAAATGTGTCAAAGATGAACTGAACTTCAACTGAACTGAGAGCTGAAGAACAAATCCATACTCTAGGGACACGGTGACAGTGCAGCTGTGAAGCATCCATACCTTCCCCACCCTGTGCTTAATAATTCAGAAGGTCAGGTTCATAATTTAAACAGCTCTGCTGCTCTACTCATCTCATTCCCCTCTCCAGAGTCTGAGACTGTAACTAATGGTCAGAGGAAGTGGCAGAAGTTGAATAAACAGTATTTTCTTTGTTTTTGCTATGCAACCTACAATGTTCTGAAATTAACAATGTGTTAAAAAAGCAGCAGTTAATACCTGACATGATTATTGCAGAATTTGGTTAGCTGGGGCTGATTGATGAATATAGTTCTCAGTTCTTCTTGATCAGCTAGAGAAGTTTTCTCTGAAACATCATCTGTCTTCTCATAGCCTGTAAAAACACAGCATGGTTTTCCATATAAACAGATTTATCTACACACACACACACACACACACAAGATTCAAGGCACTCCATGATACAAGAAGATACCTATTGTGAATGTGAACTCAACACACTGGCATTTCTCAGAAGTAATGATAATTTAAAACACCAAAGAAGTATATTGTCAAGTTGCTTTGTAAAACTATGATAATGAATAACTGTAAAGTCTACTGAATTAATGAGTACACTTAAATAGCCTGCACTGCTTCATAACAATATGGAATGAACTATTGTCTGTTGATGCATTTGAATCCAGAAGTGAGCCTACAAAACAAACAAAAAAGGAGACGGTAAAAAAGAAAAAGGAAAAAACCCAAACTCAAAAAGGTCAATTGCATCCATCTCTCCCAGCTGAGTGATCTTGAGCTAAAAATCTGTAGAAATTACTTCCAGTATCGAGGTAAATAAATACTTAAAAAGGAAGACAGAGAGAGAAATATATAACGCTAACATAAGAAAGAGGCAGGAAGTTCAAGAATATACCAGCAAACCCAGTAATTCTAGGCAACTTGTAATGAAAAATATACTTACCTAATAAATAAGCATTACAGACTTAGAAGATCTCTATATTGTTCACACATCATTCAACAGTTTTGAGTTTTTCATGTAAAATTTAACATTGCTCACAACCAAAATTAAAGGAAAGCCTAATATTTAAAGGTACATTTATTATGACCTTTATACAATTCATTCCATACTATTTAATCTCTTTTCCTGTACCACATCTGCTCATAACACACCTTCCTCTCTGTGCTTCTTTGAAACTAGTGTTACACACACTCACTCCTGTAGTAGTATAACAATTTAGAGTTTGCAAAAGAACACATAAACAGGTAAAATTCTTATTAAAACTTTGCAAAAATTTAACCATTACTCTTAATGGTAGAAAAAGTTCACCAAGAGAATGTCTGAACAATGAAATTAAATACAAAGAGCACGGGTCTAGAATAGCTATCTGAAATAAAAATTACTAATTCTATTTATTTGCACAAATCACCTGTTCTGAGAAATACTCACAGAAAAGTAATTGTCACAATTAAAACTAAGCAAACACAGAAAACTAATCTAGGCTGTCCTACAATGGGATCGATTATATTCTTCCAGCCCTCGGGAACACCCCCCAGACCACTGTGACCTTGCAAAGATAACCGAGAGTGGCCTAACAGTGAGACCGGCCAGCTCCCTCTGCAGGCCTGAATGCATCTGATCAGATCCCATGCACTTCGCATTCCTAGTTTAAGCGTTCCCTAACCTGGTACTCCTCTATCGAGCCAGACTATTCTCCAAGAAGTGACATCAGTATATTCTTAATTTTGTGTGTGCTTAATTTGAAATGGTACTATTAGACTTACTGACATTCCCAGCACCTGCCTCTATTAGTCAGTAAAAGCTGAGCTTGGTGTATATTTTTCTATAAACCACAAAAATCTTGTACCAAACTGCACCACAACTTTCATCTGTAAAAGGGAATAGCAAAGTATTCTTCTCCCTCAAGACTTTTCACTAATGTTTTGTCAACCACTTAGCCTTCACATTGATGACCAACATGCCTAAGCGGTCTATTCAGGCTGGAGCTTGTAAAGTAAACATAGGTATGGTGTAATTCAACTACCAAAGAGTTTTAAAGTAGTAACAATAACCTGTAAATGTATAGCTGCTTGTTAAATAAGTACTGTCCATTCTGTATGCCAAATGAGAAAGATACACAGAAAAAAATTATGTTAGAATGTAACTGAATATATCAGTATGTATATGCATGTAAAGGATAATTAAGGCTGCACATGAAAACTTGAAGCTTATTTCTAGCACATTCCTTACATCCTTACAAACAGGTTATGCAAAATCCAAGTCATCCTCCAGTCCACTGGTCTACCACATAGGCTCTCATCTATCATATCCAGAACGTGTATTTCAGATACTATCTAACAAGGTCAAGTCTCTGTGCAAAGACTTAGCAGAAACTTGTAATTTCATACCATCTGCCATTCAAAATTTGTAGATTCTATTACTACACAGGAAATCCCCACTACTGCATTCATCCACTGCAATTTCTCTATTTCTGTCCTTCCAAACGTCCCAATGAAAGGCACACAGCCAACACACTTCTCTTCAAACTTCAGACTGTACCTCAGGAAGACCCTTCAGAGGAAAGGCAGCCAGCTTAACAGACTGGGCTTACCTGAACAGGCACCCACACTGACTGAAGGAACGTCACCGGCACACGTCGCAGGCTGAGCAGGACATTCCCTGTTCTTGTTATTACCTGTCCTTGAAATGACAACCATCATACAACTGACTATGCACGACCTCCAGCAAACAGCTCCATAAACATATATGCCTATAACACAACTAGATACAGGTACATCTTTAAGAAGACTAGGTTGTCAGTCAAGTTGCAAGTGCACACCCAATTTATGTGTTCATACCTTCATTTATACAGAATCCATCACATGGCAAGTGCACTTTCATTTGGGGTGTAAGGCATTTACTGTCCAGTTGCTCAATGAAGGAACAAACATGAAATATAGCTCCTGTGAGAGCATTTGGGTGGAAAAGTTGGAAACTATTGTCTCAAAAGTACCAACCCAGCCTAAGTTCAGGAAATAAGAAAAGAGTTTGTACATCTGTAGAATGTACTACTTTAATTGTAAACCATTAATTTAAAAACTTATGTCAGTTATAAACCTTTAATACCGACAGTGATAGAGCTAAAGCAAATGTTAGCAGGCATTAAACATTATAGATTACCTGTTTGTTAAAAAGACTGCCAAACTAGAGACATTTATTCTCATACATCAGTATTACAGCATTTATTTGTTCTCCTTTAATAAAAATGACAGCAAAAAGGTGCTGAGGAGCTTCATAAACTTACTGCCTCATTTCCTACTACCTTGAATTCACTCTTCAATTTTCACTTAAAAAGCAAACTTAGGAGTTCAGTTCTGAGCCTTACAAGTAGCCCTTTATACTCTGCAGCTTCAGTAAAACCAGCTCTCCAGCTCTAGGTGCTTTATTATACTACCCTGAAAGCTTTAAAGGTTAACACATGTACCATCACCTCCCTGCCTAAACTTCAGTATACACTCACTAAAAGTACACAGATTTGACTGATACACAAAGCTTAGTATCAAGGAGATACAATTTTTCTTCACTCTTTGTGGGTGTTTTTCTATATGTGTATGTACATACACAAAAATATCTAAAAGCTTATGCATTACTGAAGTTATTAAATCATCTAAAGCAGTAAATATGCTTAATTTAAAGAACTAAAACATTTTCCAGGCAACAAGAAACATAAAATACTCTTTGAAATGCTGCTTTCATGTAAGATTATCAGAAAGAGTGTAAAAAAAGAGACATGAAATTCTAATTCAGTATTTGATATAGAGCTTCTACATCCTATCATTCGATATACCAACCCCTGCAAAAATACCATTACATCTTGCCTGTATTACATATCCAAGAACTTCAGTCAAAACTCAGCACACCTGTGTTTCAGCTCCTTTGCAACTATGCATCCATCCTGGTTAGCTACCAGATGCCTAATGCTTGGTCAGAAATTAGGCACACACTTCTTGGCAGGTAGCTGCTGACTCTCAGAACTGTCCGAAGTCGAAAAGAAGAGCTGTGCTCTGTGGCACAGCTGCAAGGGCAGCCAAAGCTCAGGCATCGCTTCTGGGCTCTCAGTCTGCCAAATGTCTTCAGGGATACTATACCACCCTGGCCTGCATGCAGGACAGGCCTACCCTACAAGGGTTTTTTTGTTTTTTAAAGTCAATTTATTATGTTTTGTAAGTGAAAGTTCCTACTAGTTTGTCAGATACAGGACCATATCCTCATAGGTACCACCTTGAGTGTGACTGGGAGTTTTCCCACATGAAGCATTCACTGGAATTGCAACTGAAAATTATCTATCGCATTCCTGGGGTTGGTTTGTATTCTGCATCTTCAGAAAACTATCATAAAGCATTTCCAATTTCTGCCATGTCTCACCCACACTCATCTAGCATAAACAGATTAAATCATCAAAAGCTTTGTTTAATTATAGTAATTTTTTTCAAATGCAACCTGCAAGGAAATATTCAATATGCTTCATTTACATAAGGTGAGTAAAGAATTTGACAACAACTGGTTGGTACTCAAACGGCCCAAAATAATGGCAGGAACTAAAAATGAATAAGGGACATGCTTTTTAACAAGGATGTTAAAATTAGGTAGTTCGCATGTTCATCTGAAATGCCTACCAATCTACAGTCAAGAGGACAGAAATAAAAGCTGCAGATTTGTCCCATTATTACAATCTCTCACGCAATCTGGCACCTTATAGGAAAACACGTCTAAGACATGTATCATTCCAACTATTCACTCTCAAATATGAAGTAGGACATCTATCAAACTATACTCGCAAACCCAAGCCTAACTGCATTATGTCTCAAACCTGACTTTTAAGAGGTATCTTTCTATGAAATTTAAAAAATCCAAACTGTAAACTAGAGCTTAACTGCCGATTAACCTAAGAGGTCTCACTCATTAGTGCAGCAAGTCTACACAAAAGTTCATCACTTTGCAAAAAAGAAGCTATTATGTGCTAGATTTCTTACTCCAGAAGAATCCATTGGCAACAAACCGATTTGTATGAACTCAGCCTATTAATCAAACAAGCACAAGCTGGCCTGTCATAAAAATACTGTCCACAAGTAACTGCAAGAACAAATAAAAGCATATCCATACTTAAGACCAGAAGGGAAACTTCATCAGATCATCTATAGGTCAAAGCAGCTACACTTTTTATAAATGTGTGTTTGAAAAGGATGCATTTAGCACACAGCAAGAATTAAAGAGTTGGTTGCCCTTCTGTAATCCATTAGAAGGCTCCAAGACAACAGCAGAGCATTGAAACAAACATTCAGAAAGCTGACAAAAGAAAAAAAAGGTGTAAAAACCTGAAGCACAGAATTCACACAGGAAGAATAAAAACCCCACAACACATACACAGACAGTAGCAAAGCATCAGCCTTTACAAAATACTGATTGTGAAAAATCAGTGTGAGGAATAAAAGTAAGAACTTAAGATGAAACAATAATTCTTATCTATTTAAAAAACAGTGTAGTTATTGCTGTTAGAGGTATTAAACTGATGTCTACCTAATTAATTTTTTGCTTGTTCCTTGCACTAAGCTATCAGAAAAGTATAATTCCAGGGCTTAAAATTAAAAGCAGCATCACTCTTTTTGGCCTAAAGGCCACAACAATTTAAGGTTATGTATTGGGTTTTCTGTGAGGAGTTTTTGGTTGTGTCTTTGGTAACGGGGGAAGGGCTATGGAGATAGCCCTTTGCCCCTGCGAATTCATATATTTAAGGGGCATGCAGGCCAGGCCTGGCCCTGGCCCTGGTCCTGGCCCTGACCAGTGTAGCCCTGGCCAGGCTTGGCCAGCCCTGACCGCAACAGAGAAAAGAGTGGGGCCTGAGGAGAACAACTTTTGAAGAACACCAACGTTGGTTGAAGGAAAGAAGGGAGAGGGAGGAGGAGGATGCAGAACCCAGGTTCCCCTTTTGCATCCCGTGGCGAGACCTGGGTGGACTGGCCTGCAGCCCATAGAGTTCACCAGTGGGGCAGGGCCACATGAGCAGTGGCTGCCCCTGAAGAAGCCATGATTCCGGGCAGTGTGTGCTGGAGCAGCTCATGTGTGAGGGAAACTGCAGCTGTGGGCAGACCCAGATTGGACTTTTGAGGACTTTTCTCCCCTATGGAAAGGGGGTAATGTGAAAGCAGAGAAGGCTGCACGGAGTCTTCCTACTCCTGAGAAGCACATGGCCTGAAAACTGACTGCAACCCCCAACTCCCATCCCCCTGTGCCTCAAGGCACAAGGAACAAAAGCTGAGCCCAGGAAGAAGAGAGGGGTGGGGGGAAGGTGTTCTGACTTTAAGACCTGGTTGCATCTCCCATTGTTCTACTCTGATGTTGGCAACAAATTAAAATTGTTTTGTTTTTACTCCTTATGTCTGTTGCCTGTGACCTTTTTAAGTGGTGAGAAGCCCTCCTAGTCCTTATTTTGACTAGCCCTTTTTTGAGGCATTGTGGTGCTCAGTTAGGCACTGGGCCTAAACCACAACAGGTTACAACAAATTCTGAAACACCACTTAGTAATAATTTTGAAGTCTTATATCTAGCAAGAGTAAAACAGCAATTACTACATTTCAGACAAGAACTGTGATGCTGTACCAGTAAGACCTGCCATTCAGAAAGAGGAACAGATACATTTCAAGACTTTTCTGCCTCTGCTGTGGCTTGCAACATTGCCAATATTAACCACAGTTGAGCTGGTATTTAACTACAGCTGAATTATCAGACAGATTCTGTAACATATATTTCTGAATGTCCCAACTGATGGAAAAAGCTTTTGACTTGAAAAAAGTTGTAAGTCAGCACTTCAAAAACAGTAATAGGAAATAACACATCATACTACACTGACAATTTAGTATGCAGAAATGGCAAGTTTCAAAACTAATTTCCTCTTAATATCCAGAATCACATTTTCTGATAATATATTTTGATTATTCTCTTATTTTATGTTACTACAGAGCCAAAACAAATTAAAAATGTGCTTCGATATCAAAGGAATGCAACTATTACCCTAATCAAAATTTCATTTACAAAGCTGTTGCATAAACTAGAATGACTGTACACAAGTATTTTGTTCTGTATTCTGAAGGTTATTTGCCAGTGGAACACAGAATCTGGAATCTGATAGATAAGCACAAAACACCACAAATTTCATTCAAAGTCACTCAATAAATAACCAAGGCTTTGGTTCAGGATTTCCTTCAATTTGTTCAAAAGTAAAGAATGGAAGTAAATTATACGGAACAGTGGGAAAAGGCAAGAAAAAAATTGGAAACAGAACTGCTGTAAATTCTGAGAATAAGGAGATTGAGTAGTTACTTCCCAGGGTACAAGCTGTACCTGAAAAAAAAATCATAGCAAAATGTGTAGTTTCCATAGAATGGATGTTTTCAGTTTTGCCAGCAAAAAAAACCACTTCAACAACAAAACACAAATAATCAATGAAACAAATAAACAAAAAAAAGCCAAAACAACCAGATTGAGCATTCTCCAACAAGAGAGCCCACTGAAGACCATATCTCACACTGTCTCCCACAGCATCCTCCTGGAG